CACACACACACACACACACACACACACACACACACACACACACACAAAAGCTGAGATATTTTTCAGTCTTACATTTTTTTTCTGGTCTGAATTATTATGGCAGGAAGGCTCCAAAGCTTGTGGAGCTAAATTTGTCTGTGTGTCTGTATTTGTTTGCCTGTCAGCCAAGCAACATGAAAGCTTGTGAGGGGAGCAGCAGAGCTGTAACAGGAAGCAATCACTTCAGGAGCAGAATTATTATTGGGAGGTGACTTCTCACGAGAGAAGAAGCGAGGATGATGCACAGTCATCTGAAGTTAGTTTCATGATGGTGACCTGCTCCACAAGCCAAAGAAAGCACTTCCGTGGTTGTGTATAAGTGATGGCTGTCACATTTGTGTATTTCTTATGACTTTAGTCTGCATGTGGTCATCAACTTACAACACAATATGTTCCCTGAAATTAAACGGTTATCTTCAAAAAAAGTATAAATCATAAGTGGTGTTTTTTCACACTGATTTCGGCGTAAATTTAACATTTCATTGTAATATTTCAGAATCAAGATGAACCATCGAAAGACTTTTACAAGTGTAATTTGTTGCATATTGCTGTAAAGTGATGATCTTACCTGGACATCCTCAGTACCACAGTATCACAGCTCTACTTTCTTTTACTGGTGTGCAATTTGGCTGATATGGCCATATGATCATTTGTGACAGGGGTCATGTGGGTCAAGTGGGGTCATGAGTAGTATCCTGACATCCTGGCAGTCTAATCACCTGTTTATTTATTTAACAGCCAAACTCTGATCGACACCGACTAAAGCAGAGAGCGAGAAAGTGAAAGTAGCAGGAGGGGTTGATTAAGGTTCAGAGCTCCGTGGCTGGTGTTGGCGTGCATATCTCATATCCAACTGTTTGTCCAGCTTGTTATTCATTTTATAGATTGCAAAAATACAGATCCAAAAGTTCATAAAGATGTGAAAAAGAAATTTGGGAGGAAATAAAAAAAAAATTAAGCATCGTGTGCATAAAATGATGCCCGATTCATCTACCTGTAAATTATTTTCATCTGAATTAACGTTTCACCCAAATAACAGAAAAAAATCTATATTAATTAAACTGCAAAACTATATGTGAGAGGGTTAAAATAATACTTTTTTGTTTTTAATATCAGTCATGAGCTCAGTTATTGTGAATTTTGCCCTTACTACATTCAAAAAGGAATACAGCCTTTCATCTGGACTGTAAGGGAAGTGCAGTAGCAAAGCTTGCTGCTGCCCTCTTTTGGAAAGTTCTGGTGCTACTTTTAGATTAAACTTCGCTTGTATTTACAAGCCTTTGCCACACAGTGGAGACGCATGATGGACTATTATTTCAGTATTTAAACACCTCTTTCAACCACTCACATAAGTATGTCCACTTTGGTTTTTGGTTATCTTACTGCAAAGTCTTCCTACATAAATTTATGCACTTTATTATTTTAATGATCAGTTCTTAAAACTAAAGTTTACTCATTTGTTTCCTGTTTATAATAATAATAATAATTATTGCATTGGTTATAGATCTTGTGTAATAATGACTACAGCTGAACAGGTCGTCCACTGATGTCGGAGGTTCGATGCCCAGCTCTGAACCTGGCCTGAATATATCCACCAGCAAACAGTGCGTATGGCGGATGAGGCTCTGGATGAATGTGTGTACAAATAGGCAAATGGGGCCTAAAAAAGCAGGGCGTGTACAGTTACATTCATCACAGGACTGATGTTATCTTTCTGATGATATGGTATTTAGCCAATCACAAGAGTGCTTGGTGTTTATAAAATCTATTTTTTTCCTCCTTTCTTTAAGGAGGAATCTTGAGTGTTGATTTACTAGTTTGCACAAGACACAAAATGTAAAAGTTATAAACAAATGTGTTTTCATTTTATCGCATGCAGGACTGAAGAATTCTGAAAGTCTAAGAATGAGATGCAAATAAAGATATTTGCTATGCTGTGAGACGCACGCGTTATTTTCATCAGACTTCAATTTGAATATGATAATACAGGCTGGAATCACATGCTTTACCCGCATTTTAATATCAGCAGCACCACTATTTCTCTGGGACTTTGCATAGACAAAATTCACAAGACCAGAGTAAATGGAGTCCCTGGTCTTTCTTCCTCTGTGGGAATTTGAGGGTATAAGCATGACAAGGAGCTTCCATAGTAAAGAACGCATACACAATTAGTTTAGAGGTTATAATTTTAAGTACACTGAAACATTTTTCTGTCTTGTTCCTCAGTGCACCAATTACAGAAAGCACTGATCGTTTGGCTAATTTTCTCATCCTCTACCACATTTGTGTATAAGTGCTTCCACCAGCAGCTTTCCTTCTCTGAGTGACTTTTTGAATATTTCATCTCCAGCGTGGAGAAGGAGGGTTGTGTTACAGCAGGATGAGTGACTGCAGGGCAGGAGGGTTGCAGAGATCCACAGGTGGAGCCTCGCACACATACGTGCTAGCGGTAAAAGGCTGGTGGGGCTAATTAGATATTTAATAGCACAGACACATGAGAGCACACGCATTATTGTGATGAGAGGTGGAAACTGAACAGCACAGTAGCTACGTTTTGAGGATATGCTGGTTAAGGAGTATTAGTTACTCAAAAAGTTACTCTAATCAATGTCTTTATATCACTAATAAAAAATTATTGTAATGCCTTGCGAGCATCTTTGTGCTCACTGCTTTATGGTTTTACACCGCAGCTCTTTTACTCACTACTGTCATCAGCCAACCACAACAAGCCATTGCTACCCAGCAGACAGGTTATCAGCCCATGGAATGACTGTTATCATCTGTTAGCGTCATTCAGTAGGTGATCATGCAGGGCAGCTCTTGTAGCCGTGAGAATATGTAGGCTTACTTGTAAAATCTCATGCTTGGAGGCTTTTGGGGCTTTCTATGTGGTGGAAGTCTGTTTTTACCCAAACCCTGGCTTTCCCTAGTTACAACCAAGTAGTTTTGGTGTTTACGCCTGACCAAACAGCAAAAAACCCAAAACCTAAAACAAAAGACATATGAAACTCAAGTCTCTTCAGTGAACATCACTGATTCTCTTAATGCAAAATTTTATTGTGCTTATAAAGCGGAAACACTGGGCCTGAACGTCGTTTCAGTAACACAGGACTAACACACCTAAATGAGGTGACATGTACTTAGTTTGTGGAACAGGCCAGATAGTGTTGATATGTCTGGGAATGACAATAACTGACTGCAATCAGTGAGGTGATACAAACAAATGCAAAGTCATCGGCAAAAGAATGACCACAGTGGATCATTTAGCTGCCAGTGAGACTCGTATTACTCCCAAAAAGACCAAAATAGAAGTCCACCACTTAGCCACAAAATGAAAATCATTTCTGCTGAATATTGTGCGTGTCCCTCTCAAACTATACAGATCAGAGCCACAGAAAGGTCTCGGTCAACTTCTTCCCTATGCTAAACCAACAAGCGATGAAATCCACAAGACTGCTGAAGGTGTCTAGTGGTATCAGACAAGTGGAATTAGCTGTAGATCCTGTGACTTTAAAGGTGAGGCCTCCATGATTTTATACTACTTTTTTCCAAACACATCTCGCAAATGCTTGTTCAGATTGAGGTCTTGGGAATTTTGAGGCAATTTCAACTCTTTACTATGTTCTGCAAACCATTTATGAACATTCAAGGACTTCTGTTGTTTCAGTTATGAGCACAAGTCACTGTAACGGCCACATGAATGCCAGGTTTCCTATAGCAGCACCTGTCAACCTGGCTTCTTCCTGTACTGCATCACATTGTCATCTCTTCTCTCAATAAATGACACACATGCGTTTGTTGTCAGTCGCATGAATTAAAACAAAATGTAATTCCTCAGACCAACTCATACTATTTCATTGCTCGGTGGTAAGTTGGGCACACATGCCAATTATAGGCGCTTAGGAAAGAGGTTAGCATAAGAACTTTTGGTATGTTGCAATGTGTTCTGCTTTCTTTCTATTATATCCTTTTAGTAGTACCTGCCATTCTGGAGATGATCTGACCAAGAGTCTTGCAGTTTCAGCCATCAACAACTATGCTGCCCGTTTTTCCTGCTTCAACGCAGCAATTTTAAGAACTGCCTGTATGTTGCTAGTAATGTTTACAGGTGTCATTTTCCTGAGATAAACAATGCTACTCAGTCTGCCTGATAGTGGTTTTAAATGTGTGCCTGATGCTGTGAAACCCGATGACTCCATGAGTGTCTGCAGCAATCTATAGAACATATTATCGGGTTTATGAGGAGATCTAAAGCTCCTATCCCTACCATCACCTCCCAAAAATGTAGCACCTGGTTTTTTCATTATGTCTTGCTTTTAGTTTACCTGTTCACTTTTCATCGGAGTTCAAACGCAAATAACAATGACAAAGACATAAAGTGAGCAGGCATGAGTGGGAAGAGCACCCTACCTTTCTCAAGACCTTCAGGTGCATTAAACACACCTCTACTTGAGAGTTAGATCCTCCCACTCCCGCTCACCTGCATATAAGCACACCTGTAGCATCAGCAGCAAACAGAGCCTACTACATTCTTCTGGATCGTAGACTGACTCTACCTGAACAAAGTCCTGGTAAGGAGAATATATATCTTGTTGGTTTTATTCTTTTATTCTTTATTTTTAGGAATCAGACTTCCTTAAATGAAACAGGTAAATATTAATCAGTGTTTTTGCTTGCTTGTTTAATACATTTAATTAGCAATAAGGTTGTTATCATGGAATAATTATAATAATGCACTGACATGAATCCAAATAAAACTTCTAAACTTCTTGCTCAGTTTCATTCAAATGGTCAGCACACGTATTAGTCAGTTGATAGCGTGATGATGATCCCACATTATAAAATGCCCATTTCCTGCGGTACAGCGGGTCCCGTTGTGTTGCTGGAATTCACTCTGAATATTTTCTAGATCATTTTCCCAAGCTCTATCTCTCATCTGAACAAGGACTGTCTGTCTCCTGCTGGGTCCTTTGTATCATTGTGGGAACGGTGTTGTGAGGATCAAGTGACAGAGAGACAGAGAGGTTCCCTTGACCGCTAATCTGCTACTGAAACTTTGCGAGCGTATACACACACACACACACACACACACACACACACACACACACACACACACACACACACACACACACACACACACACACAAAGCCACCCTGTCCTTCACTACGTTTGACATCCAAAAAACAGTTAACCTTTTGTAAAGTCAAGGAAATACCATGAACACCTGTTGCGTTGGTACTAATATTACAGAGAGTAACATCATTGATCATTAAAAACAGAAACCAATTACAAATACGTGCCATTTGAAGGCGCATAGACACCTGTATCCTTCTCTGTTTGCTTCTGTTCTTTTAGAAATCCTCTATCAGTCTCTTCTTGAATATAAAACACATCTTATTATCATGCGTAAAAGAATATGTGAGAGTCCCACAGTCTCAGTGAGAGGCTCTTCTTCAGCCCATAGCCGAGCTGTGGTCATTTGCATTTAGATTTTATGCTGACTTGAGTTGAATTATGTCTGCACAGAGCTGAGACTGACAGACTGAAGAGTCTCCGGCCACGAAGTCAGTCATCTCTTGATGCAGATGCTTAGGATGAACAGCCACGAGGCAGCTGTGCATACGCTCATTGAAAGACTCCTTTCATCATTTTCAGTGGGCGATCAGTGGTCTTGAATATAAGACCCTACTTGTATTTCCATCAAAGTCTGCTGAAATGCTAGAATAAAGCACATTTGCTCAAGGATCACAAAAGAGCTTTTCTACAACCGGATCTCATGCAACACTACATTTAAATGACTGCCAAAGGTCAAACAGACTGGCTTTTGAAGTTATGATGTGTGTAATTTAAACATTCATCTGCTCTCTTCGAAGATATGAACCTGTAAGAGACTAAACCTCTGTGATTGTGCTCTGGTTCTGTTTCTCAAGTTTATGCATTTCCTCCGTCTTGTCTTTGTAGTTAAAAATAAACGTATAAGTACCCCAAGGGCAAGTCATGCTACATAGCCAAACTTAGCTAATATGTAATAACAGAAATTAACCATTTAATGTAAGATGAGAGCAGGTTTCAGCATTAAAGACAACTAAAAGTAATGGTTGGCAATAGAAATACACAACCAAAATAAATGTACATATGCTTTAAATACAAACAACTGGCTGAGATTAGTAGCTAACATTATAGCTAACTGTCAGCTAATAGCACAGAACTACTAAAATCAAGTTTAAGCTGCTCACTTGTTAACTTATAGGATGGATAAATAAATAAATAAAACACATTTAAAAGTTGTCATTAAAGTTATTCTAGTGAGTCTTGAGGAAAAAAATATCTATTTACCAACTGGTTGGCGAGTGTTTGCTGGAAGTCGCTGGCTGTCGGTATGAAATCAGCTGCAAAGAGGAGGCTACCTTTTTAATGTTTAATGCAGATTGCCACAGTTGCCTGTAGTTTGCTTGGAAGGTGCCAGTTGTCTGCAAATACTCATAAAATACTTACCGAGCAGTAGTAGAAGTTTTAAAAGTTTGAGGCAAACCTTAAACGAAGAATGTTCATCTTTAAAGTAAAATTTGTACTTCGTTGCCCCAACCAACACATTTCAAAAGGTGCAGCTTTTACTCTGAAGGCGCTCAGAGAGTAGTTAGTGAATCTTTGCACTCAAGAGCACATGCTCCACGGAAACTACCAACCAACAAAATCAAGCTTTTTGCCAAATGGTTGGGTATCTGGCAAGGTCTGTCGGGGCAAGGCCTAGCATCAACCTCCAGCGACCATTTGTCATCAGGTTGGGGAATACACATTTTGCCCTTGCGACCAATGGTGTCCAGGGCTGTGTAATTGGCGTCTTGTTCAACTGACCTGACATTTGTCACATTTACAAAAAATGCTAGACAAGTTAACGCCATGCGGTTAGTGGTCACATGACTGCAAAACCTTGATATTGTAAGGTAAAAGCTGTCCAGATCCAGTTTAAATTGAGTTGATAAAGGGGCCGTGAGGCATATCAGAAAGGTTGGGAACCACTGGCTTGAAACACAACATTGTTTAACCCCCGAACCTTTTTGCTTTGTTCTTTACGCCTTCACAGCCGCCAATCATGGCCTCCAGTATTTCAATGAAAAGCTACTCTATTGGCCGTCAGCCCTCCTTTTCCAGCCGTTCGCTGATGGACACTGGCCGTGCTCGCTCTCGGGCTTCTGTGTCTTTCGCTGTAGCGAGCCCGCTCACCCGTTCAGCTTCCATCAGCCAGGATCTCAACGGGCCAGCAAGCCTTCAAATTAACGGACTGCATGGCAACAGCACCAATGAGAAGGAAGCTATGCAGAGTCTCAACAACCGTCTGGCCAACTACCTGGACAAGGTCTGACAATAACACAGCACTCCACTGTTACGTTATCAGCCCAGGAAATAACACAAGCAGTAAGCTGAAAGACTTTGATCATTAACCTGTGTCCTCCCTTCTCTGTGGCTCTTTGTATCCTCCAGGTGCGTTCACTGGAGCGCTCCAACGCTGATCTGGAAATGAAAATTAAGCAGCTGATGCTCGAACGCATTCCCAAAGGTCATGACCTCGATTCCATGATGGCCCAAGCTCATGCTGTTGAGCAAGAGGTAGGCATCGAGTGGCAGGCAGGCAGGGGAAAAAGTCAGGTCAGCATAAGATCTGAGTTTAGAAGGGGCAAACAAGGCTCAAGGTTATAATGACTGATCACTTTACATAGACAAAACATTCATGCAAATATCAGATCTATTTTAGCAGGAAGTGCACTAGGAGAGTCATCACAGGCAGAATCAGCTCATACTTCTAGTTAACAAGTAGTAAAAGAAGCCAGGCCAGAGTTAATGATTGTTTTGTGCTTTTTAAAACAGAATTAGTCACAGTTCAATGAAGCTCGAACTTCTCACCAGCCACAAATCCAACTCTTAATGTATCATTTAGAAACCTTGTTGCTATTAGTGTAACACACAAAGGTAACATGAACATACACTAAAGTTAAATTATATTATATAAGCTTTAATCCAGGATTTAATCCTGTTATTGACCTATGTTAATATTTATCAGGTGAGGAAGAAGACCTTGGAAAATGCTCGTCTCATGCTAGAGATCGATAATGCTAAACTGGCTGCCGATGACTTCAGAATCAAGTGAGTGATTAATGATTGCACCATGGTGATATAAAGCTGTTTTCGCAGAATGATACAAAGAGATGTTTCTGTTAATAATGTCATTGACGCCTCTGTCATGTTTTGGTCAAATATTTGCTCAATCAACAAAAAAATGTTTGCACATTAACACAGCGTTTTTTGGAAAAAGTTATTTAAGTACTGATTATTAAATTAAAAGATTACTGTAGGAACACTAAAAAGCATAATAAGGATAGTATGTCAGCTAACATACAGTTTTCATTACATACAGCCAAATATTTATCAGTATATATCAGTAAATGTATACTGATGTTTGTGTTCTTTGAGTTTTTATTGCTGTATTAATTAATTTCAGGCTACTTTTGTAAGACTTCCTGACTGCATAGGCATTTCTTACTACTTTGACTAATAAATATTATGCAAAGGGAAGTCAGAAGCAGAAGTACAGCAACACAAATGCAAATGTTTAACTTTAATTATGAAAAAACAAAACATTAAAGTACTTTTTCCTGCAAACATGTTATTTCATATCCAGTATAGGCAGTTTCTACCGCAGTAAAAACAAGGGGGGAAAAAGCAGTTTATCTGTGGAGGTAATGAATAAAAGTTTACTGTAATATACGATGCTGCTCGTCTTTCCAAACTACTAGATGGGAGACTGAAATGGTGATGTGTCAGTCTGTGGAGCGAGACTGTATTGCCCTGAAAAAGGCCAAGACCGATCACGAGCAGATCATCGCCTCTTTGAGGGGAGATTTGGACAGCCTGAAAGAGGAACTTTACTTCCTCAAGAAAAACCATGAAGAGGTTAGTGTGTTTGCCACCATCCCCATGTTCTCGTTTTCTCTTCTCACTACTTGACATTTGTGTAGTCTCATTTTCATTTTGGCCCTCTCCCTTCCCCAGCCTGCCCTCACAAACACTTGCTTGAAACACGCTTGACCCACTTTGGTGGACTCAGTGGGCTTTTTTAGCGCCACCATAGACAGAAAACGATGTGTGGTTGAGGAGAGCGCAGCGATAGGTGGTCCTCTGGTTACTGTGGACAAAAGCAGCAGGTAGATCTGGTTGCTCACACCTGCTCTCTCTGTCCAGTCAGCTGATCCGAGGTGTTCTCCAAGGCAAAGATAAACTTACCCCCTCACACCAAAGGAGGAACTGATCTCCCTTTTACTGAAACAAGACTGTGTAGATCCTATTTGGTGCCACTTAGAGGCCACTAGAATAATGTGATGCAAAGAAAGAAGCAATATGTCCGAGACTGGAGGTTTTTAAAACCTCATTTTCACAATGAAACAATGAACTGCTGCAAATATTCAGCATGAATTTAACCAAATAAGAGTAGATTATTAGAACAGATCACACATTCTTAATTTTTTATGTATTTTACCCATGTGGTGCTTGCTTTGTGAATGTGAATCTCTGGAATCAATGCCTTTTTGTTGAATATATGGCAACTCATTTAGATAAGCAGTGTCTCTTTGGGGAGCATTGGGACATTAGATGGACCCTAAGCAAGAATTCAGTGACTAAGCATGAAATATATAAACTATAATTCAAGTTTGTTGCCCAATAAAGTTTAGAAAAATGTGTATAAACATATATCAAGAGCTTTAGTAATACACTACTTTAGAATAAAACAGACTAGTGACAGAGAACAATGTAACAAAGAAGAGAGAGTGAAAGAAATCCACCAAGCATGCTTGAGCAGGATTATTTGTGTGCAAGTTGAAAGGCCAGGGGTAAGCTGAGCTCTTTCCCATTCAGTATTTATGAGAAACATCTAAATAATTAAAGTGCCATCACATCCTCTCTGTCACTCTGCGGTGTAGGGTTCAGCGATCTCTTCCACGCCTTCTTCACATGCTGACTGTGGAAACCAGTGTTGGTTACATTTAATTAGAAGTGACATTTAATACACAGTGCAACTAAAATAATTTGGTTTAAAAATGACAATGTGAGCAATGTAATAAAAATAATCTCCTGTGTGCCTACAGGAACTCGAGCAGATGAAGTCTCGTATTGCCAGAGATGAGGTGAACGTGGAGGTGGACTCTGCCACCGGGCCCGAGCTGGGCACCATTCTGTCCGAGCTGCGTTCCCAATATGAGGGCATTGTGAAGAGGAACAAGGAACAGGCGGAGCAGTGGTATCGCAAGAAGGTGTGGGGAGTAATATCTAGCGTGAATCACTGTAATAATGTTGAATGGTCCTCGCAAAGTTACACAAAAGGTCACAGAAAACACTTCTTTGCCAGCTGGAGACGATGCAGAATGAGGTGAAGGAGAGCAACGAGGCTCTGAGGGGAGCTCAGGGAGAGCTGACCGAGAGGCAGCGCTTCCTGCAGACCCTGGAGGTGGAGCTGGAGAGTCTGCACAAACAGGTGAGCTGGGATGCAACAGCAAGATGAAATAGCGCACGGACATACTGTAAATTCCTTTAGCTTCCACTCATCACCAACTGGTCATGTTAGATGTTTTTTCCTTCCGACTGTCTTGTGCTTGCTCACAGGGGTTGTCTAATTGTTGGAATTTTCCCAGTTAGTGTATTTACCTTTAAATACAAAGCACCTTACTGTCATTTGACTGTATGTAAAATCGAATTGAAAAAGTCACTGTGTAGACAGAGAATGTCTACACAGTGACTACAGCAAGAAAAGTCGCCCATCCCTAGGAAAGGTTGTGGTGTAGGTGAGGGTGTGGTCTTACTTCACTGCTGTTTTTCCTTTCTGCAGGCAGAAGAGTGACGTGTCTGTGTTTCGGTTAAAAAAAAAAACATTTTGAGTTGTGCAAACATAGCCTAATACCCGCAAGAGCAGTGCAAACACACCTCAGGCGTGATTCTAAATTTATGGTTACGAGTATTAACTTTTCAAAAAGCCGCACTGAAATATGGTGTTGTATTAAAGAAAGAGATTTGTCCAACAGCAACAGAAAATCCTTACAGACGTCCAGATAAGTTTCGTGTACATTCTTTGTACATTTCCAGACCACTGCATCTTATATTCTGGGAAAAAATCATTTTGTTTTTCTTTCGTTTAATCCTGTGTTGACAGTAAACATGTTTTACCGTGCAGGGACATATCACATTCAGTTGCAAAATAGTATGGGGTGAGGTTCAGTGGCGAGGTGGGTTAATTGTGTCTGAGCAGCAAATGTTTGCTTTAGGTGCCAAGGACTTGTCCGTTCACAGGAGTTTGTTGATATGGGCTTGGGAAGCAATTTCAGAATCAGGCGACCTACTATGTAGCATCATATTACTGATCGCTGGTTACAACACAACACAGCAGAGTCACTGTTATGAGGAGAATCATAGGGTTATCATGTCCGGTGGACATGTCGGTGTTTTTTAACTTGATACTGATATCACGACTATGAGGAATATTCACGGCAATTCCGGAAATAGATTGCTTTGTTTTGTTCCCTTTTGCTTCTCAGATAGCAGCTCTGGAGGGAAACCTCGGTGAGACAGGCCAAAAGTATTCTGCTGAGATGGAGCGGCTGCAGGTCACCCTGAACCAGCTGGAGGAGGACCTCTCTCAGCTCAGGCTGGACATGCAGCGCACCAAGACCGACTACGAGCAGCTTCTTCGCATCAAGCAAAACCTGGAGATGGAGATCGCCACCTACAGACGCCTGCTGGAGGGAGAGGACTCGTAAGTATAGCAATACTAATAAAGATTTAGCGCATGTCTCAAAGGGAAATTATAATTAAGTATGCTTTACCCAGCCCTTTAAAATAAATCTGTATGTTAGCTTTGGCCAGCAGGTAACACAGAAACTTTAGTGAAGAAGTTAGAGAAGGACAATAACACACCTGATATACTCAGAGATTATGGTGCATCCTTGTAGTTTGATGTTCAGTCAGAATGGGGATAATTTGGCTACACTGTTGCCTTGATCACAATACCTGTATGATCATCTTACATCAAGCGTTTCTTAGCCTGCCGCCTGGCATTGTTGGGTGTAGCTGTTCTCAGATGTCAGCTTTGGTGAGAACACTGTTACTGTGGCAATGTTCTCAACAAAGTAAGCAACAGACAGGAAAACTGATGAGAGTGTAAACTGTACTGCGTTGTTTATAAAACCTAATCACAAAAAAATATAATAATAAGCAAGTTGTAAGAAACTGAAGCTTGCTGTCAGTGTCCGGCGTGTTTCATGCTAAGAGTCCTTTTAGGGCAGTGTTTTTCTGATTGGCTGCCCCTAACAAACCGAAGGTTTGAACAACAAATGGGTGGGGCTTTTGCACTCACAGCCAGATCTGTGTGCCTGAGGTGACTATATTAAGGATATCTGCTCTCACTGACATCAAAAAGAGCTAAAAACTGAAATAAAGCTGCATGAAACCAGCTATTATAAAATATATATAAGTTCCCTTTAAATGATTGCTTTGATTGTGTTAGTCTTGCTTTAATTGAAAGGTAATTCTAACAGGTTTTCTTTCTGCCCTTCAGAGTCAAAGAAGTCCCTCCTCCACCAAAAAGTGAGTGAGTTATTGAAAACTTTATGGAAGTAAAGAATGACCAAAAGTGAAGTTATGAGAAAGATAAGTCAAGCAAAAAAGGAAAACTGTATTCAAACTCAAATGTAGATCTGAGCCAGCATTGTAGTAGACAGACAGACAGAAGGGTATATCTATCTTTTACCACACCCAGGAGGCCCACAACTAATTATAGTTATGTAAATATCCAAACAATGCACAAACCACTTACAGCTCAGCTCCTATAGCAACTAATGTGGGTCTGAAAACATTCCCCCCCGTGTTGTGTGTCCTAATCTCTCTGACTTGCACTGCTGGATTAAGAAACTGGAGTGTGATGTGATGTGAGATGAATAGGTAACACAACTTTTACAAACTCTGTGCTTTAGTAGCAGTCACATATCATCCTATATGTGAAACTACTAAGATTTTACATTTTTTAATGTATTTATATGCGTAAAAAACTAGTTTAGTCAGCCTCACATTCTCTTCTCATGTCTTTTAAACACAGAGGAGCCCGAAGTCCGCACCAGAAAGATCGTGAAGGTGGTGACTCAGACCATGGTCAACGGCAAGGTGGTGGACGAGTCCAGCGAAGTGGAGCAGATTGAGGAGTCGAAGAAATAGAACAAGCAAAGAACCAGCTGAAATTTTAAAATAAACAAAATAAGTAGAAGTTAGAACTTTTTTCAAAAAAAAGGAGAAAAGGAAAAACAAGAAAAATTAAGAGTCCGCCCTATTACTCATGAATTGTGAAAATGAAGCTGAGAGCATTGTTGGAGGTACAGTAATGACTGACTATGAATGTCCTGTGTTTCCTATCATCTCACATGAAACGCGATTCAGACGTCACTACAAACAAGCTATGCTTTGCATAAGTTCATTGACTTTTAGATAGAAATGTGTGAAAACTGACTGATCACTGCTAAACTCTGTTTTACTAATAAAGGGTTTTGTAGTCAAATGATGTTTAATTCCTAGTGCGATAACATTCATTTTACTAAATGAGCCTCTGTTCCTTTTACAACAATTTCATGTCTGCTGTTTACTGTTTGCATTCTGAATACAAAGACAGAATAAATCCACAATGTGTCCACCTTCTCTATTCTTACATCACCTTTGATAATTGCCTAGATTTTGGGATTTTTTGAGTCTGAATTGAACAATTTAGAGTCAGCCTAAAGGCTTCATGAGGCTATTCTTCAGCACAGAAGTGCTTTGCCATGTTAAACGTCTGTGAAGGTTCTCATTCAACCAGGTCATCATAGTCTAAGAAGATTGGAAAGAAAAGCGCCTGGACTTCTTTAAGTTGTTTGAAGACGTTTCACCTCTCATCCGATAGCTTTTCTTTCCCAGCTCCTTAGGCCATGTTTAACAGTTTTTATTTAATTAAACACGTTTACTGAAGTTAAGCATAAAGTGCAGCCAGGTTTAAAGGGACAATATATAAACAGCCATGAAAAGTACAATCTGGGGCGGTCGTGGCTCAAGAGTTGGGAGTTCGCCTTGTAATCGGAAGGTTGCCGGTTCGAGCCCCGGCTTGGACAGTCTCGGTCATTGTGTCCTTGGGCAAGACACTTCACCCGTTGCCTACTGGTGGTGGTCAGAGGGCCCGGTGGCGCCAGTGTCCAGCAGCCTCGCCTCTGTCAGTGCGTCCCAGGGTGGCTGTGGCTACAATGTAGCTTACCATCACCAGTGTGTGGATGATGTAAAGTGAACTGGATGTGTAAAGCGCTTTGGGGTCCTTAGGGACTAGTAAAGCACTATACAAATACAGGCCATTTACTTGTGGTACCAGACAAAAAGTATGGCGATACCAGAAGTAGTAGGAATCATCCAAAGTAACAGACAGTGCACACGAGAAGTGCGGAAGAGAGTGCAGGCTGGTGGAGTGGGTGGAGATGAGTGTCGGGGGTTATTTGTGACAAATAGATGGCAGCAAGAGTGAAAGGGAAGGTTTACAAGATGTCAGTGAGACCTTCTGTGATTCATGGTTTGGATACGGTGGCACAAAACAACAATAATGTGGCATATAGTAGGGTGGGCCTTGATGACTGTTTCCCTCTTTTGTTACAGGATTGTGCCATACTGCTGCTGTCTTGTTGTTGTTATCTTACAAGCGTCTATGGACTGGCCATGACTGACTCCTGGTTTTATGGTCTTTTACTTGGAATTGTTTGATATCTTTTAATCTTGCTTTTATAAAGAACTGTATCTTAGGCTGTATTTGTTTTATTTATATCTCTTTTACTAATTTGTTTAACGTTTTATGCTTTGTTTTGTTGCTTTACTGGAGGTGCGGCCGATTGTTGAGGGGCTAGGCACGTGAGGTGGAATCCCCTTCCCAATGTATGAGATTGTACACATACAGATGGTAGATTGCACCATTTAGATTTCAGTGTGAGTGACAGTGAGGTTTGCAGTGGAACTACACGGGTGAGTAACTGGGGGCACCCTTGGGCACTGCTCTCTGTAGGGTTGCCTCCTCAAGTGGCCGGTCTCCACCATTTTGTTTAGGTATTTTTATTGAGCCGTGATTGTTCTAGGGTAGCATCGTGGCAGCAGCCTGGTCATTTTAATCATTGTTTGTTAAAAAAGCATTTTAATTAACTGTCTTGCAGTCTCAGCCCTGCTACCTTAAGAACTTTTCTGATTTTACAGTTCTATGCTTTTAGTAGTTTTTCTTAATACATTTTGATTTGTGGAATTGATCTGCCTCACCTCTTCTGAGCTTGGTAGCTAGTGTAACATTTACATTGGCTATAGAAATCTGTCCTGGGGTGTAACTCCCTCCCCAGGTGGCGTTGTCAACATCTCATAGTCACCTTCACTGGTTATCCCTCCTTCACGCCACCACATTATGATTTTCGTTGGGAATGACCAGAACAGACAAGATTAGAGCATCATGGGTACATCTACTCACGGTGTGCTGCAGTGGGCTGGTGTGACAGAAGATGATGCGATGGATAGGGTGAGATGGAAGTAAATGATTTGCTGTGGCAACCCATAAAGGGAGCAGCAAAAAAAAAGAAGATGAAGAAGAAAATAATACTAATCAGTTTTAGGTGTGTGCAGTTAAATTTTTAACACAAATTTTGTATCAAACCACAATTTCTGTGGCTCATTAAAAGTGAAGAATGATGATAGACAGACCTGGAGGGATGGTCTCACTAACTTGACATATATGAGCACAATGTATATGCTGTACAGTCTTTTTATTTATTTTTATTAATGTTTGGGTTAATGGTTAACCTAAAATCCATCCCCAGAACTATCTTAATATCTGAAAATGATGGGTTCAGTCAAAAGTCAAATTTTCTCTGCTGGTGTCGTCACAGTTGCTCCTTTTCAGGCAATGAAACCACGGCCTACAGCCTGAGCTATTCATAAACAGAAAACTGTATTAAATTGGGCTCAAAATCCAATCAAAACACACTGATTAGAAAGCAGGATTTGTGAATAATGCTTTTGTTGTTTAATAATTGATTGTTGTTAATTTTCTGCAATAAATGTTTATTTAAAGAAGGCCAAAGTAAATTTCCAAACATGTTCCTCCATTAAAACATTGTTGGGAAAACAATTTCACTCTAAGAAAATGAAAAGAAAAAAAATCAGAATGAAATGAGTATTAAATGGATTGTAACAGTTAGTTTAATTCAAAGGTTCAATGTCCAACAGGATCGCTGAGATAACGCAGAGAACAGGAAAGTACAAGGAGCCCACCTGGAGTAACTATCAAGGGGAATCCCGTTCAGATTACATCACTGTCTTTTGTTCTCAGTGTATTGTAAAGAGGATAATTACAGTCATGGTTCTGAACCAAAACCTGACTTTATTTATGCTTTATACATTTTTCTTGTCAATTACATTTTAGTTGCAAATAGTTACTCAGTCATTTTGTACTCCACTGATAAAAACTGCACCTTTTCTCAAAGGTTTTAAAGTCAGAACATAATGTTGCTCCCTGCCATTTGTGCAAAATGCCCAAGAACACAAACTATGCAAACAAACAACAAACTCCAGAGAGTGTCTCAGCGCAGCAGCCTTTTAAATTATGTGCAGCAAGCAAAGCAAAAACAAAAAAAAAGAAAAAAGTGGTGCTTAAAAGAAGAAGAGGAGAGTGCAGGATGAGGACATTGCACTTTGGATTTGAGCAGTTCTGTCAATGACTGCTGCGCAAAGAGTCTGAGTATGAGAAGTTGTGTTTGCTCTGGTACAGTGTGGTGGTAAGAGCCCAAAGAAATATCTGCCCCGGGGCCTATCACAGAGTTATTACGCCTGCGGTTCAGCTGCAAACATGTGAAGCCCAAAGTCATTATGTGGGAGGGCATGTTTGTTGTCACTGAGGTAAAGTGTTGAGTAATATCTCAAAAGCACTGAAAACATACTGCAGTTCTTTCACTAAAGACATTTTTGAGGTAGCTCCTCTAATGCCGAGGCAAATATAGAAAAAAATAGGCTGAAAATAACAGGGTCCTATAGTGACGGGTGATGTACTTGTAAGTCTTTCCTGTCTGATTTATATGAAGCACATCATCTAGAATGACTGACAGCTCTATAGTTCACACAGACTTAGTAATTAGTTTGATTGTATAATCTTTATGAGTGACATTTAGGGTTTTTTCCTCTGGCATCATAATCCTTTAAAAGCTCATGCTATTATATGAATGCACACTTTCATGATTCTACAACCAAACCGTCACAACAAACCAAAACAAAAAAAAAGATAAAGATAAATCAGGACAAAAGCAGGTACCAGTTATGACAACACTGTCAACTTGTTTATAAAAAAAATTTATCATCCATGTGTAACAGCAAACAATCGCAGGAGCCACTTTTACACGGGTTCAAACGGGAAGACTTTTTTAGCGGTCAAACATTTTGTTTTTGTGGAAAGGAGCATGATAAAAAGGAGCAGACCAACAAAAAACACAATAAGACATCAACAGGCTTCCTGAGATCATGTTACAAATATACATTTTCTGTGAGTGCTTATAGAAATCTGTGGTTTTAAAAGGCCACAAAACAAAGTTTTGTTTTATTTAATCAGATTTTCGTGTATAGAAAACTGAAACACCACTGACTCAACGCCTTTTTCCGTTACTCTGAATAAATAAGACAGATACATGCAAGTCCTGTTCACAGAGCACTGAGTTTGTAAAGACCAAGGCTGATGCATTGTCGGCCAGCTCACAGTGTTATAAAGCAATAGACACAGAAAGTCTGATAAACTTTAGGACAAACAAACTCTGAGAACTGCCTCACACTAGTGCCACATGGTTACATGGCAAGAAGCAGCGAGATTAATTATTAATATGCCTGAAATAATTTCTAGATTCATGGATTCAGAAAATGAAAATCTTCTTTGTACAGACCAATTGCTGTCAATTTAAAAACAAGGCTTTCAGATGTTGGACAGTTTGGGGCCTCTACTGTAATATTTCCAACTTCATAACCTGCCAGATGTTTTCAGTAGGTGACTGGACTGCAGACAGGCCAGTTGTGATGACCCTCACCCTAATGTCCTTTCATCGGCTCCACTTGGCAGTTCCTTTCTGCAGCTCTTGGAGAGGACGAGTGGTTTGCTCCCAATTAGCAACATTAGCAACAGCTGAGCTCTAATTTAAATCCCTTAGAGCTCAGCTGCCGGGTGGGTCTCTTCCCTCATGAATCATTTTGGATTTTGGTTGTGTGTTGCTTAATTTTCTTTCACTGAACAACACTACATTCCCTGCTCACTCACAGTGCTGACTACACATGTCTTGGTTAATTCAAGTTCCTAAAGGATGTTGCTTTAAAATAAACAGTTTTTTAAAGGGGCATTTGTGTGAATCTCACTCTTGGTCATGGCATTGTGACCCAGGTTGTGACACGGTTTAGCATTTCAGCTGTTTCACCATGCAACCAGCTAATGTGTGCCTCTGCTGAGAGCATACATAGTTTCTTTTAGGCAGAATTG